GGAGAGCAAAGCGTGGTCCGAAATGAGCACGCCATCTGCCAGGAGTCTGTCTGCGGTGCTGAGGGAAGACAGCCGGCCCGAGCGAAGCCATTACCGTCCCTTAAAGACCAAAACTCACGTGGTTTCGGACAGTCGCTCTCACCAAAGGCAGGAACCAATCGCTCTACACTGACAAGAAACGCAATATGGAACTTTATAAATTGCAGTTTCAGTTTACAAGATGCGCATTTATCTTTTCTTTATCCATATCCTGAAGAGGAAGTACAGAAAAGAATTACTTTCATTTACTGGATGACTTTTTCTCAGATTAAACCCCTGGCTTTCTAATAACGTTAGCATAACAAAAAGGAATATATTTATTCAGATAGACAAGAGAAGCATTAGCTTTTAAAATCTAATTTCCATCATTATTTAACGTTTATTTTTATTTTAGAATGGCAGACATCTTCAAGTTTGAAAGACAGTGCTGGTCGCACAGATTGCGTTTTCTCTTACAATCGACATTAATGATGAAAGAAGATGGAGACACAAGAGAAATGTGTTTTTGAACGTAAAGTTCCCCCTTGTGTAGTTCAGCATCTGAAGGATCCTAAGTGCAGCACCGGGTGAAAGATTTGGCCGCTCTTAGTAGCCAGTGGAATAAAAGTGTTTTGTTAGCATGTTGACCATAAGTGCAGTCTTTGCAGAGCATTTCCTCCTTACCCACGCTAAGCACAAGCTAGTGCGGCCTTTAGGGGAAGCCGTTCCAATTAAAGCCGTACGGTCTCCCTGAAAGCCAAAACCACGCATGGACGGCAGCTTTTAGTTTTAGCAACGACAGCAGAACGACAGCAGAATGTGGGGAACCCAGCAAAACTAGAGGTGCCCACAAGAAAGCCAATGGGAAGAGGTCGAGCGTGGAGCCGACGCACTCGCACGCTGACCCAGACAAAACGGGCCTCACTCTCTTGCTCCCAGCAGCCTGGTGCTATTTGTTCACCTGGTTCCTTTGCTGAAGTCTGGCGCGCCCGGCCAGATGTGTGGGCCGCGGCTGCTGCCCTCAGCGATTCTGCGTTTGCACAACACATCTGGAGCGAAGAAACATTTTAGGTTCTAGGGTCAGGCCGCGTTTGCTTTCCTTTGCTCACACATCAGGCGGCCTCGCTGTGCCGTTGCATGTCGACGGAGAGTAAAAAGCCTCTATGCTGTTAATTACACACATCGATATTAACTTACAAGTTATCATTTTATGGGAGTAGAATCAAAATAACCTCAAATACTTTGATGTGATGCTTCTTTTAAGAGGAGCTGGTTTTTGACACTTGTAATCATTTCTAAAGAAGACAATTTCAGTAACTTCTGTGTATCAAAACACAACCCGTGTAGTAGTAGTTGTAGTAGTAAAGATCACCTAAAGGTTATCCACGTTATTTCTTAGAATTATTCCTGGATTTATAGTTATTCACTGAAGAAGGAAAAAAAAACTTTTTGGTCTTCAATCTCTAAGACTCTGTGTTTGGATTCAGCAGAGACTGTGATCTGTTTCACATGGCCTTGATCTCTGTTTGTGTCTGTTGCAGATGCAGATTCTGGACAAGTTTCCCGTCGAAGCTGGGCAGAAAGACCCAAAAAAGCGCATCATCCCATTTCTACCCGGTAAGCAGCTTGTCAGAGCATAACGGGCCGGGGATGAAGAAGCAAATTCTCTGCCGGCCGGAAATTCTCTGGTATTGCAGGATAACGTACTATCACATACACAACATTATCCAAATAATGGGTCTAAATAGCTCTAAATGCTAAAAGCTTAAACTGTGGCTAGTATGCAAGTATCTGTTTATTCCCTGCTGCCTGCTTGCCCAGTAACTATACTCTTTAATACTGTTTAGTAACATACTTAAGCTACATTAGTTAGTATCCAAGTAGACCGCTAGAGTAAGTAAGGTGGAGGCCTTACGTATTAGCGGAAATGACTAAGAAGTGTTGATGGCAGTGTCTTCCATTCTGGGTTTTCTGTGTGCTCTTTGGTGTCCCGCTTCCTGCTGAAGTTGCAGTTTAGGCAGGTCAGCATGTCCATTGTGGTTCGCCGCAGGAACCAGAGAAAGCACTTTATTAATAGGTTCATTTAGCGGACTGCGGATGGCTTATAGTGACTCCTGCCTCCCCCAGCTTTGCCCCCCCCCCCCCCCCAGGGCTGCGGACGCTGCTGCCTGCGCGATAGAGAATCCTGCTCTGCTCAGCGTTGTATATTTTGACAGGAGGAAGATTCTCAGTATCTTCAAGGGCCTCATGCGCCGCTTCCGTGTGAGAGCAAACGTCTGCTGCATATCGAGTACTCCCTGAGCTCTGCGTACCTCTATCTGTGACCTTAGGCTGTACGGAAAGGGTTGCCATATTAATAGGTTCGACCGAGATTATGTTGTGCTCTATGGCCTTCGCATCTTTCAGTGTGTCAGTGAAGTACAGAGACATACATTCCCTCAGTGGGTTAAAAAAAAGTCTGAAAAATGATTACACATCTTCCAGCTGCTTATCCTGCCTTGGCTCACAGCGGGCTTGGAACCTCTCCCAGACAGCATTGGGCGCAAGGCTGGGGTACACTTGGGGCAGGATGCCATTCCATAGCAGGGCACATACTGGCGATTTAGAAACGGCAGTTTGCCTAACTGTCTAACTTGGACTGTGGCTGGAAACCAGAGTCCCCAGACGAAAGCCAATCGACCCATTGGTGGGATTCTAACCCCAATGGCATGCAGTAACAGCACTACCCACTGAGGCACTGTGCCTCCCGACCAATCGTGTTTAGGGTTATTTATTTGCCAGATGCATTTCTACCAGTGGACAAGCAGGTTGGTAAAAATAATAAATGTATTAAGTATGGTAATCAACACAAGCACAAGGTCAGCAAATACAAGCAGTATTGGGCAGGTTACTTTTGAAATGTAATAGGTCACAGATTACTGGTTACCCCAATAACAATGGAATAAGTGATGTAACTATTTTGATTACTTCATCAAAGTAATGTAAGCTGAAAATCCCAACAGCTTTACCAAAAGAAGACATTTCTGCACAGTGCAAAGATGCAAAGTAACAAAATAATTATTTTCTACATATCAGCTATTTACTGAAAAGAATATATTCAGATGTAACCCCTTTGTAATCACCAATATTATGATTGACTGTAATTTAATTAAATTTTTTTTTCTCAGTAACTGTAATGGATTGCAATTACATTTATTTTGTAATTTCATTACATAATGCCCTTACAGGTTATTCCCCAAAACTGAGTATAGGCAGTCTTGTATGACTGCTACAGAGTAGCTGTGCTATTAGCCTTGTCAATTTAATGCAGCATCCATCAGCGAAGATGGAGCCATGTCTCGTGAGAGAAGAGAATTAAATGTCACAATCTATTGTAATTTAATTCACTTCTGACCGAGGCTGATACATTTCATCCAGCTTCCATCAATAGGCCTGAAAATCTGCTGTGTTGCAGTCGTGTTGTTTTTTTTGAAGTCCGGTTTAATCTCCTCCAGAGCTGCACAGCGGCTGTCCTTTCCCCCTGTACTCTTGATATTTTCCTGGGGCGAGGAAAAATAAAATAAAGCCGAGAACTGCAGTCAGAACGTGTTAAAATACCATCTTAAAATGTGTAACTTATTAGCTGTTTTTAAGTCTCCTGAGGGATCTGTTTGGTAACGTGATGAAATTGAGTTTCCCTTTAAACACGGAGCAAGTCTTTTAGTTGAATGCCAACACTGTGTGATTAATATTTTTCACACCTATTTTCCCAAGACAAACAAATGTGAAACATACAATGACATGCATTCTTTGTATCTGTGTACCATGGCTTAGCAACTTTCTGACAAAGATGTGATTTATTCCTCTAACGTTTGTACAAGCATGATCGCATTCACATTATTGCTACTGTTTTTTTTTTTTGTTTTGTTTTGTTTTTCAGTAACTGAATCTGGAGCTGTATTTACAGATGCAGATTCCACAGAGTCTAATCGTGATCCTTGGTCTCAAGGATGTTTTTTATATATATATATATTTTTTTTTTTATTATCAAACTGTGGTCACCTTGGTGGGCCCGACACTATCTGCTGTGTACACTGTGATGTTTACATTCGGAGCACAGAGATGATGCAAGGCAATGTGCCTGGTCGTCACGCGACCTTCCTGCAAACATTCCGGAAGATGTCACAGTGTATCCATGCAGGGCTTGGCCTGACTAATTCATCATGTCAGGTCGTTCTAGTGATTTTGAGGTTGAAGAAAATTTGCACAGATGTTTTTTCATAGGCAGCACTGGATAAAGTCATACACTTTGTGCGTTGTCAAATATGCTTATTTTTGCTTTATGCTATTTGACAAACCATTGCATTTTCCACATACCTTGCCTTTACAGCTCTCTGTATCTTGCGTCTTGTTGTTATTCTCTGTTTGCTTAAGACCTAATTATTTGTCTATTGTTATGGCATCTCCAGCTGTAGCATGCTGTGCCAACACAAATTTCCACCAATGTTGGCAGTGTGCCAGTAAAGATTCTGATTCTGATTGTTGAATAAAAGATCTGAGTAGGGTTTTAAAAGTCTATATAAAATATCTCATATCTGCATATTTGCAAAATATCTTTGATCTCTTATGGAGATTTTGTTAAATGGTGCTATTGTACTGTAAATGCTTGACTTGTGCTTTTCAATGTACTTTTCAGCCTACCATACTGGCAGCTGAAATCCAGTTCACATGTTTTCTGACACCTAGTGGTGACTATGTGCATCACACATTTTATAGTCATTTGGTAACAAAGGACAAAAGCTGTTTGGGCTTAATTAAATCATATATGGTAGATGTGTCAGTGATCCCTGACATTTATTATAATTTTTTTTATCATCTTAAAATGCAACATTTTTATTCTACATTGATAAATTTTTTTTACCGTCTTTGCTGATTGCAAAAAAAATACAAAAATATATACATTTTTTAAAAATTGTATTTGTGTTGTCTTTTTGTCTGACTCTTGCAGGTAAAATCCTGTTCCGTCGGAGTCATGTGCGAGACGTGGCCATTAGAAGGTTGCGTTTCATCGATGACTACTGCAGGGTAAGGAGTCTGCTCTGCTCTTCACACCAGAACGGGGCGCAGGTAGCGATAGGATAAATCCTCAGTGAATGGGATTACCTCATTCTGTCAATCACTGTCTGCTTTGCTCATATGGCTAGATAAATGCAATAAATTACCCAGCAGCCAGTGGGTCAAGTCGCACTGTGACTGACAGCGCACTCTACACTGGGATTCAAAGTCCTGTTCCTACCTAGACGTCAGAGGAACTTTTACTTGCTTGAGAATCGAATGCGATTTTCCTGGGGGTTCAATTGCACCCCCTACTGGTCAGATGAAAATGCTATAAAACATATTCAATAGTTCAAAAAATTAAATTGTATTGTAAAGTTATATTTCAAAATATGACTTATGTTAGTTATATGAATGTGTAATAATAGTTTATTTTAAATATATTAACTTTTTTTTTTTATTTATTTATCTGGATTGGGCTTTCACCTGGCTCCCTGGGAGCACAGTGTCGCCTATGTTGAGAATCCAGTTTAAACATGCAGTCATTTCTGACTTTCATTCCCTGCACCTGAACCGTTATAACCGTTAATCATAATGATTAAGGAGCAGCCATGGTCCAGGCGTGTAATCCGGGGAGTCTGCAATCCAGACATGTGCAGCTTCTTAGAACAAGGCCTGGCAAGCAAAACCCAATTAATTCGTCCATTTGTTCATGTACCGTTTCGCTGTTTCCTGACTGATGTAGCAAGAAATCAGCAAAAAGAGCCATGATGAGTAGATTCATCTGGAAACGGGGCCTAGTCTGGCACAGCTGCAGAGGAAACACGTCACTCGCATGGCTCCTTCTGTTGGCAGTATTCTGGGAGAGAGAGAGAGGCACGGTATTGAACCTGTGATGTCAATATGCATGTGGCGACACCCTTGTCGTTCAGTCTTTTAACCGTCGGCTGCTTTTCCGTGTCAGCTTTAGCCACAGGCAAGTGGCTTGTGAAAGAGTTGTCGCTCCAGAGTTCTTGCTTAATGTCGGTAGACACGTCCCGTGGCAGAGGTGCGTGGCCTTCGGCGATATCTCCGCTCGCCGGTATCGTCAGGAAACACGGACTCCGGCGGCTTCTGTAACTTCCTTTGGAGAAGTAAAATGGGATCAGAAAACAACTGCAGCACAGGCATTCAGAACAATACATTGCAGTACTTGGATATGGCTGTAAACATACTCAATGCAGGGAGTAAAGCATAACCGCCGGACTGTATTTATTTATAGCTGACCTGAATTGACTGAGACGTGCGTAGTGTATAGGTGTGTCCACATAGTTCGACGAGTAGAGTATTGTGTTAACAAGGTTGTGGGTTCAAGTCCCAGAGAGCATACATTTAAATAGGTAGTAACCTGTCGCTTTGGATAAACACGTCGGATAAACGGATACGTTCTTTAACGTCTGAATATAGAGAAATCATTTATATTCCTGATATAGTCAAAGAGAATCGTGACTTCTGTAACAACACAAGGCCACACAAGTGATGCAAGGAGTGCGAGTCTTCCTTTGACGAGGCAAACTGCGAATCTTAGCGGCCACCATCTGTTTTCCTCTGGTTAATTCCGACTCCCTGGTCCGGTTTCCTCCCCCCCACCCCCTCAAAGCGCGTCCCCCCTCTTCCTTTGGATGCGGCGCCAAGGCTTCGCATGTCGCCCCAGCTGGCGGATGTAAACAAACCCTGGAAAAGCGCAATGAGCCAGATGCTGAAGTAACTCTGCAAGACGGTGGCATGCTATAGAAGGGGGGGGGGGGGGGGGGGGGGGGGGTGGGGGGGGGGGGGGGGGGGGGGGTTGTGGTAGCTAGGGATGTGTGTTGAATATATAAACACGATAAACTGAACAGACTTCAAGATAAGTCTGGAAAAGCAACCATCACTAAGAATGTAATTATTCAGTTAATGACACAATTTCTTTGATCAATTCAGAACATTCACTTGATTTATTTGTAAAACATGAGGATCTTTTGAGCTGTTTTCTATATAAAATGTGACTACCGTATTAGCTATTTTTTTCTCGATTCTCGGTTGCTTGTGATTTACTAAATCAAAGTCGTATTTTCCGTAAGGCCTTCCTCGGGAAATGTGGTGGGAATATGATGATGGTGATGTAAGCGTTGCTCTTTGGCTGAACGGTATTATGTACAATGGATAATTAATGAGGTCTCGAGAGAAAATTCACTACAGGGTTTCTTTGGCTCAAGCATACTTTTGTTTGTTTTTTTTATATAGAATGCATCGCCAAGATAATGAACCTCGTGACCCTTCCTCTGTGCTATCCAGCAAACAGATATATTTTTGTTTTGCAGTGAGGGTCGGTAATGACTTCATACAGTTTTTCACTGTGGGACAAGTTGACCTTATTTCCCCCACTGTCACCCCTCCCCCCCCACCCCCTTCTTTCTTAGGCCCTTGTGCGATTGCCTCCGCAGATCTCCCAGAGCGAGGATGTGCTGCGATTCTTTGAGACCAAGGAGGAGGACCTCAACCCCCCCAAAGAGTGAGTGTCGCCGTTGGTTTGCACATTTCAGATCTTGGTTACTCTGACTCATCAGAGATAATGAAGCTGAAATGTATATCATCCGTACATCTGAGTCGCCTGACAGTGATATTACCACAGGTGAAGTAGGAGTGACACTTGTTGAGGCTGAACATTGTGGTGAAATTTTGAGTATCTTGCACCAAGTGATACTTAATCCGGGGCTGTAAATTGTCTATTTTTCTGCTGAGGTCCCACAAAGTGTCCCAGAAAGGCTGAGAGGTTTGTTTACAACGGGGACTTTGAACTAAGGAAGCAAGGGTTTCACTCTGATTCAATCAGCAGAAGCCCTCACAGATATTATTAACTTTGGCTCTAAATGCGGGATTTTCACGAATGTGTCCTCAAGTGAACACTTTAGCTCCACAATGAACACTGCTGTCTTATCTTATTCTCTATGTAATATATATAGTATGACTGGTTGTGTTGGTCTTTTCTTGTTCACAGTCTAGTGGATGAGAATTTCATCATTATGTGTAAATACTATATATATGATTCAAACTTTCACCTTGAGGGGCAGCACAGTGGTGCAGTGATTAAGCACTGTCGCCTCACACCTCTGTGTGGAGTTTGCATGATCTTCCCGTGTCGTCGTGGGGTTTCCTGAATAGGATAAGCGGTTTCAGAAAATGGATGGATGGATGGAAATTTTCACACTGAATGCAAGTAAAGAAGAAACCCAACAATATAAGGAATGAAAAACATAGAAACCTGGAAAAATATTGAGATCTGCACCCTGGGTGGCTTTGCCACTATGCACGGTTCATTTTGGATGAGCAAACAAACTTCACACCCCACCCTAATTCTTCAGGCACTGGTACATGACAATTAGGAGTGTTACTCACAGTTAGTCTTACAAATGGTAAAAGTAGTAGTATTGGACTTGTGTGCACTTCAGTTAAAAACTGACCTAGATAGGCAGAGAGTCTTTTTGTTGGTACACCCCGGATTTTAATTTTCTTACGGGAAGATGAGAAGCTGGTCCTTCTGCTCTTTTACTAGACATATTCAAAGCTGCCTGTCGCCACCGGAGATGTGTCCCACATGTGAAGGTGTATCGTTTTACAGGGATGCTCCTGGTAATCCCCGGAAAATCGAGTCGATCAGCAGAGGTCACTGTAGCGCACACGGTAGAGGAGTCAGACTCTGTTTGCCGGTAAATCCAGTCACGCTCAGACTAGAGGCTCAGCGTTGGCAGTCAGAGGCTTTGAAGTACACAGGCCTTTCTCCATGGTCTGTGGCAGTGGTGTATCTTACCTCTGGGGCTGCGAGGAATCGTCTAGTATCTGCTGTTCCAGAGATTGTGGTTCAGCTGGGTTCACTGTAAGAATAAGAGCAAGGGTTCAGACAATGCAATAAAAAGCAAGAAAAAGTGGAATCACCTCACAGCCGTCTTGTCCCCGTAGTTGTTATCCGTTGCTTTGCAAAGCATTGTTGTGTAAATGACAGAAATCTCAGAGGATCTGTTCCTGTACAGTAACGAATTGCTAATGTAAAATGCAACTGATTGAAAAGTAAGGCCTTTGGCTATCGAAGCTGATCATAATTAGCATAACAACACACAAAAAAAAGGGCCAGAAGATTCTACAACAACAGAATCATATTTAATTAACCCAAAGAAAGTTGTGTGACTCCTCTGGGAGATGTATAATGTCGTTGCTATTCTTGTCACCAAGTTTTTTTGTTTTCTTTTTGTGAACTGTGACCTTTCTCAGACTGCATGCTTCCTTTGAGAATTAGAGAGTATAACATATTTCCCTCCACCTTGGTAGAGAGGCTCAAGGAGCTGCATGCTGTCCGGAATGTGAAACATTTGTATAAAAACAGGAGAAGCAACATGCTACTTGAGATTCCTAAGATACTCCAACTGTCCACTAGGAGGTGGTATAGTCATATGAAAATCATGCTGGTGTCTGTCGTATATTAATAATGTGCTGATTTTTTTTTTTGGTTGCAAATTATATAAATAAATGAAAATAGTAAACTCTTATTGCTAAATAGATATAGTATATGATTAATTTGTATCTCCTTTATAGAACCCCTCTTTTTATGAATAATACTGCATAATTTCATATTTTTTGTTTGAATACATGTTGGAAAATGACAATACTATATGCCACCATGACAATTATGAAATATTTTATAAAGTTGAATATATGAAAAAAATAGAATTTTAAACAATCATTAAAATAATATTTTACCTGTATACAGCTGTGTATGTTCACGCTAAGCACCCTGTTCAAGGGTACAACAGCAGAACCCATTCTAGGATTTCTGATTTGGATCAGGTTTGTTTTATGCCTGTAATCACTAGGTTATTAGTGACCTCAATTTATTGAAAAGTTTTTACTGGTTTGTGTGCATGAAAGATGTATATGCAGCCTACCCTCTGTATCTGCGGGTTCCGCATCTGTGGATTTGACCAATCGCGGATTGAAAATATTCCGGAAGAAAAAATTATCCAGAAAGTTCCAAAAAGCAAAGGTTGACTTTGTGCCATGCCGTGCCGAGCCCTACTCTGAATATAGTGATGTGCGGGCATACCTTGCTGTAACCTGCGTCCATACTGAGCATGTGCGGGCTTACCCTGCTGTAACCTGCGTCCATACTGAGCATGTGCGGGCTTACCCTGCTGTAACCTGCGTCCATACTGAGCATGTGCGGGCTTACCCTGCTGTAACCTGCGTCCATACTGAGCATGTGCGGGCTTACCCTGCTGTAACCTGCGTCCATACTGAACATCCATGGATTTTGGCATCTAGAGGCATCCTGGAGTCAACCCCCCCCCCCCCCCGGATACCGAGAGACGGCTGTCCCTGAAGAAAAATGACTTTGCGGCCCAGAAGTGTACTGTTTCGTTTTGGCTTTGCGCTGGGAAGACTCTAAGCAATGCAGTTAATTTCCAGAACTCAGGGTTGTCACACTTTTTCTCAAGGTCCCTGACATGGATATGCCTGCTGATTGGAGAAGGTTAGAGTTTCCAGGGACTTCAGGCCTAAGATTGATCTCCAGTCAGGGAGGGGGTGTAATCGATACAGGACAAATCGGGCAAACACATCCGTGGAAATTGTCGCCGAAGAAGAGGCCGCAAAACCATCCGATGGGTTTACCTTGTAACTTCGATGTGTGTTTATCGATTCTTTGAAATTGAATATATAGCATTCGATACATGTACAAGGCAGCTTTGAATTAGGGTACATGTGTTTCAGAAGTTTACTAGAATCGATTCCACAGAGAGACATATACAAAGGAATCTTTTTTTTTTTGTTAGACTTCGGTTTGGCTTTTGATTTTAGCTGTTGGTTACATTTAGCCTGCTGAACAAAGGCATGCGCACATAGTCCATGATGAATTTGTTTTTTTGAAAACAGTTTTTTTCAGTCAAATACAAAACAGTTACTTGTGGTTCCGAAAGCATGTGAAACACTTTCCTTTTGTGCCTTGTTTTTAGCAAGGAAGTAATTTGTTGATATTAAATTTCAAAACGGCCAAGGAAAATCCTGGTTCGGCCTAGGGACATCAAAACCGAATGTGGAAAAAGGCGAAGCGTGCCCTGGCTCCCCCCCACCGGGGCACTTTCACGGCAGGGCGACGGCGTGGTACCGAAGTTTGGCTCCGGCCCCCGTTCCGGAATCTGTCCACTTCATCAGTTTCGGCGCAGGGAGCTTGCGGGAGACCTCCTTAGCATAGACAAAGACGGCCTTTCAGGCCCCGAAATAACCACCACTATTCCAGATGCGACCTTATGCTTCCGAAGGCACGGATTAACATTCAGGAGCCGGAAGATATTCATCTCAAGCATGTTACATTTGAACGGTTTTTTACATTTCGTGTCAATGGCCTTTTATATGCTGATAATCTTCTAAAAATAAATATCTAATTATCCACTGGTATATTGCAGTATTTATAATGGTATTTTAGATAATGAATTCTACATTTTTTAAATTTAATAAAGGTGAGTTGGGAAAAAAATCTCGCCACAAACATGCAAAATACTGATTTTAAATTAGAATTTTCTTTTTGTTTTAACCAAATAATAATGAACAGAACTTTATGAAACCAAATGATCTTTGTCGAGGTGACTATAAATATTAAAATGTGACTTTTTAAAATCCTATCTTGTGATCTGAATCATGAGTCTTTCAACAGACACTTTCACAAATCAAGATTTGAATTATCATTAAACGTCCAACAGGATCAAAGGCTTTCCCATCTGAACAAGTCAATATGTTTCAAATTTTATAATGGAAATATAGTGAATTATAAGAGATGTTGCCAGTTCCTGTTTCCTGTTTATTTTTTTCACGCTGCCTGTAATTGTTCATTCCCTCCCTACATCAATAGAAAATAAAGTCTCAACCAAAACGCAGTGAAGAACCCATGACCGTTTCAGTAGTGGTTTGCGGCTTTCTGATCTGACGTGGGGGTGAGCATGTTGGGAGGTGTTTGAAGTCCACTCCTTTGCTGCCAGAGGGTGTACATTGGAAACAGTGCCACAACGGAAAACTATAAAAACTGACGTAAAAAAAAATTGTAAAGCTGTATCTTGTTCAGTGAGTAACGAAGGGCAGATCACAGTACTCATGCAGTATGTCTTTCTAGATTTATGTTGTGGATTTTGCTTTTATCTATCTAAACACATAAACAAGGCTGAAGCTGAAAAATAAGTAAGTCTCTATACATCTTGTCAATATGTGAGCACTTTTGAGGAACATCTGAAATGAAATTGTGCCGTATATGCACTAGTACTGGTGCATTGGAATTCTTTATTTTCGGTACACCCTATCTTCTCTCCTTTGAGACCTTCGCACACTTGAATTCAGTTGAGGGTGAAGCTTTGGGTCGGAGCATAGGGTTGGCTATTTATCTGGCACCAATGGAGCATTTTGGGGGGGTTAATGGCCTTGCTGGAGGGGTCAACGGATATGTGACTTTTCTGCCGAGGATGGGATTCAAACCAG